AGTTATACCAGTCGAGCCTTTAATGGCAACACACAAGAAGAACCGATAAAGGAAAAGAAGCCATGGAAACTATATCATCCAACCTCAAATCCGGACCCTGATTTGTTCCTACATACACCATACGAATGATCCCGGAAGCTGCAAACAAGAAAACAATGATGAAATTCGCAATCCAGTAAATCCGGAGAGACAAAGGGTGGTTGATAGATCGAAATCTCTTTTCATGGATGATCAAGATAGCAATCACGGAATGAGTTATGGCTTGAATCAACCAAAACATCCCATCAACTTGCTTCCATGGCTCCTGGTTACTTCTAAATACGAGAATGGATATAACAATGTAACAAAAAGCAAGGAGAACCGTAGCAGCCAAGGAAAGCTTGAAGAATACGTTGGTACTTGGAACCGCCCTGTTTCTTCTTATGAGAGGCTTGTCGATGTCGGAGCCGCCATGGCTATTGCCTGAGAATTTGGAATAGAGCTTGTGAACCGCAAAACATAGGAGGGTGAGCAAGAACATGAAATCAAGGGCTGAAAATAGAGCTCTCTGAGGACATGGAGCGAGGAAAATGAATCTCAGCCATTGGGTTATCACAGGAACAGATGCCTCCTTGGAAGATTCAATCACAGAGCTTGAACACGAAAGAGTAGTAATCCAAGTAGCAGAAGACATATTCACTCCAAAACTTGAAATAACACAAAATCACCGTTTTTTCAGATTGTAGACGGAAAGATCAACCTCACCATTGACGTCAACGTTAATATTTCCGGAGGTTAGTGAAAATGAATGAACAAGTCACCGGAGCTCCCAAGGCCAAGAGAAGTTTGAACATGTAAGCAATGATGATAATATTAAATATGAACAAACACAGTTGAATTCAACATGGTAATTTTCCAACTTGCTTTAAAAAAAGGAATCCTTGTGGAAAAGAAAATAGATTTTCTAGAAAAGAGAGTCAGGGAAATGAAATCAATAAAATAAACATATTAAGTAACCAAAATTCCATTAAAAAAAAGGGTTTAATACCAAAATAAGTGTCTCTATACCATTTTTCTTGAATAAGTACTTAAACTATTTTTTTATTTATCTTGGTGCATAACGTTACAAATGTTACCACTTTAATTGTTCGATCCATCAACGGTATTAATTTCTTCCGTTAAGTAATATATTTCACAATTTGGTAATTTTATAATTTTATTTAAAAATTAAAATTATATATTTAAAAAATAAACATTTTGAAATAACTCAAAACTTTAAAAAGTTTCATTTCAACACATAAACTCACGCCGACCTTCGCTCTTTAACGTCGATGAAGCTCTACCAAACTTTACCTTTCGCCGATGATTAAAATCCCTATGAAATTGTGGATGATCGACAACTAATTGATGTTTTATACCCTGAGAATCCTAGAATGAAAATCACGATTCCAACGGCTAATCGGCAACAATTACGGTAGTGTATGACTAAGAGGATGATAGAGACTATATCGACAGCAGTGGTAGTGGCCGGAAAGGACAACGATGATGGGTTAAAGTTAAGATTTTTGGATTTTGGGATTTTGAGGTTTTCTTATAATTTAAAAGAAATTAGAGTTTTTTATAAATATAATATTTTTATATTTATAAAATAACTTTCAAAATCATCAGATTGTGACACGTTTCATTTAACGGAAAAAATTAATGCAATTGACTGCCTGAATACCTAAAATGATAACATTTGTAACGTTAAATACCAGAATGAATTAAAAAATAATTTAGACACATATTCAAAAAAATAGTATAATTTGAACACTTATCTTAATATTAATACTTTAAAAATAACAAAGAAAATCCATAAAATTTAACGGAGAAGGTACAAAGCAAACAAGATCACGCAAAAACAAAGAAAGCCCACCACGGGTTGTCCATATACGATATTGTCGGATATATTAAAAGGTATTTAATAAATTCGATTTAGCGTTATTTATTATGTTGACAGACTAATAATATTTTAGGTAGAAAATATAAAAAACTATTAAAAAATTTGGAAACTGGTTAACTTTGCTTATCGATAAGTATCGATACATATATATAAGTGTCTATACTTATTTTAATTTAAAGTTATTTTTTAAAAGTGTCGATACTTATTTAAATGGAATCGACACTTTCAACATATCTGGTAGGTAGTTTAATGTAATAAGTAGCGCCTATTTTTTTTTACCGTTTACATTATTATATTTGATAATGTTTCAAGTAAATAACCGGTTATGTTATCTTTTTTAGTGAGTTTTAAGATATTAATTTAGTAATTATACACGTCTAATGGTTTATTTTTATGTTACGATATATATTATTATTAAATTAAAAATAATAAACATATATATTACATATTTATTATTATCTTTGGTTAAAATTGTTAAATTTAAATTCTAAATAATATTTTATAAAATATCAAAACAATCAAATAATTTTTTGTGTAAACGAAATTATTAAATTAATATTGTAGGTGGAAAACATGAAACACTATTAAAAATAACTGGTTATGTTATTTTTTTAGTGAGTTTTAAGATATTAATTTAGTAATTATACACGTCTAATGGTTTATTTTTATGTTACGATATATATTATTATTAAATTAAAAATAATAAACATAGATATTACATATTTATTATTATATTTGGTTAAAATTATTAAATTTAAATTCTAAATAATATTTTATAAAATATCAAAACAATCAAATAATTTTTTGTGTAAATGAAATTATTAAATTAATATTGTAGGTGGAAAATATGAAACAATATTAAAAAATTTTGAAACATAAATTACATAACTTTCAACAAAGTATCGATATATTTTTATAAAAGTATCTATACTTTCAACATATCAAGTAAAATTTACCGATTTTATCATAATGAAACTGATTTTGTCATATTTTTACCTGTTATATTGTAAAGTATCGATACTTTACAATATAACAGGTAAAACTATGATGTAATAGGTAGCGATTATATAATGTAATAGGTAACGCTTATATAATGTAATAGGTAGCGCTTATATAATTTAATAGGTAGCGCTTATAAAATAGGTTAATTACTGGAAATATTATCAAGCACTTCAACCTATTACATTATAAGTTTTACCTAATATGTTATTGTGTTTGATAATGTTTCCAGTAATTAACCTATTTTATTATATAAGCGCTACCTATTACATTATATAAGCGGTACATAATATGTTATTGTGATTGATAATGTTTTCGGTTAAATGATATAATATAACTGATCTAAATTTTAACAGGTCATTAATTTAACCGATCATATTATTTTTTAAACGTCGCACCGCATAACTTCCCACCGACACAAACCAAACCTAAGTGCTGCATGAATTCTGATCCGCGCGCCTGATTCGAGACGCCCGGAGATTCTGCAATCAGGAACTAGAAACCAAGAACTTCCTTAAGTGCAGATGACTACAAAAATAATAATAATATTAGGCGTGAGTGGGAAACTTATTACTGCAAATGTATTGCTGTTTTATTTACTCTGGCTTTGGTTGACAAGATCATACTTACTACTGGAATCTGAAGTTTTTTTTCTTTTTTTCCTTTTACTATTAACGTCTTTTCTTAAAACAAAATTCAATGTTGAAGAGTTTGCTCTTCCTGTATAAAACGTGGAGATGGGGCTAATCTCTGTTACCGGTGTTTAACGAGTTGAGCTTCTCGTGTGTAGTTTGAACTCAATTCAATCAAAGTTTAGTAAAAATTCGACTCTAATTCGAGTTTAACTCGAGATCTTAATGAGTTGAGTTGAATAAAATTTAATTCGACTCAATAAATTCGCGAGCGACTCCATAATTTTTTTATATAATTTTTAATAGTTATTTTAAAAATTTATTTCATGCACCCAAAAATATAATTTTATTTATTATTTTAATGTATTTGTGAATTGTTATTTTTAGAGTTTAGACTTTAAAACTACTTCATACATTCTTTTGATATTTTTTGGTTAAATTTGTTGATTTATGTTTATTTTAAGTTCCATATAATATTAGTATATTTTACCTATAATTAATAAAATAAGATAAAATTACGGTAAACTTAACAAGTAACGAGATGAGAAATGAGCATCAAATTTAACGAATAACGAACTTAATAAACAACTAGTCGAATTAATTTTTAACGATCTTAACAAATAACAAGTTGTATAACATATTTTTTTAACGAACACAAATCATATATTATCTAACTCACGATCGACTAACTCATAATTACACCTAATGTCCATTGCGTGTTGACTGTTTGGTATTCGGACAGAACCCCTCGCATGCTCGACACTTGTATTTCGCCGCCTTGTGCGCGTGTGAGTTTTAAGCCCGTCAAATCGGATTTTTCAATAAATATGCAACTTTTTGAAAATCACCTTTAAATTATGAAGATATAAGTTTCAATAGATTGGATTAAGGGATACTTATTATTATCTTTGAGAAAAAAGAAAGATGAATTTTTTTTAAAGATTACCTTTAAATTATTTAATTTAAAATTTAAATGTTCAGCATTATTATTAAAAAAATATTTTTAAGATGATAAATGATAATTTGAATATGATGTTATAAGTTAAATATATATGTTTAAATGATATTTAAAATTTTAATAATACAATATATATCATTAATATGACACATCGAAATACACAACTAAATAAATTATCTTCTTTAAAAAATATTAAAAATTTCAAGGATCTCTTTATGATTAATCACCATAACAGTTTAGTTTTAATTTGAATACAATTATGTGTAACCAGGGGCGGACCTTATAGTTGTCACATGTATCCCAGGCAACCCCTCAAAATTATCTACTTAGTATTAATTTTTTTTTAATTTTTCTAATTAAAACAAGTGTCACCCCTAAATTAATACAAGAGTTTTTTTATACAACCCCTGAATTTTTGTTCTAAGTCCGCGTTTGTATGTGACTTTAATTTTGCTTTTAAAATAAAAACTAAAAATCATTTAAATTTCTCTCATCGTCGATTGCAGCAATATAAAAAGTGTATAGCATCAGTCGAGCGAGTAACTCCTCTAAAACATATGTGATTCCGCTCCTCCCAGATAAAGTAGACAAAACTGGTCCAAGCTAACTTGAGAATATGGATCAAGAGGGATTTACCTTTAAAGTTCAGAACCATCCAGCGTATAGCATCATCCCAGCAACTTGGCAATTGGTGACGCAAACCACAAGAGTTCATAATTGCACGCCAAACCTCACACGCATAGAAGCATTCCAGGAACAGGTGGTTACGAGTTTCTTGACTAGCCCCACATAGACCATAAAGATTGTCAGTCACAATACCAAAACGCACAAGTATGTCCTTTGTTGGCAGTCTATCCAGCAGCACCATCCAAGCAACCACAGAGAATTTAGGAACATGAGCTGGGAACCAGATCAACCGATACCAGTCCACCTTTTCTCTCTTTTGTTTGATATTGTCCCAAATCCATCTGCCCTTAGTTTGTGACAAATTGGTCATAGAACTGAAAAGTCTACAAGCTTCCTCTCTCATCTTGATCAGCTTGCAAAGAATCCAACTGAAGTGAGCTTTGCTATCAACCTCCCAATAGTGAACTGATTTAAAACAGTAAGTCTTTACCCAAGCAATCCATAAGGACCCTTCCCCAGCAAGAATGTTTTTAATAAGCATGAAACAACAAGCCTTACTCCAATCAGCCAGCTTCCCAAGGCCTAAACCATCCTCAGATTTAAGGGTGCAAACCTGATTCCAGCTCACTCTAGCCCCTCTTGCTGAAGTATCACAGCCCTTCAAAAAAAAACCTCAAACAAATATTCTCAATATCCCTCATAACCCCTTTAGGCAGAATGACTTGCATGCACCAGTAACCAAATATACTGAAAATGACAGACTTCACAAGATGTAATCTACCCCCAAAGTTGAGTTTCCTACTAGACCAATTGTCAATCCTACCTTTGATTTTCACAAGTAAGGCAGAGCAGTCCTTACTTGAGAGCTTACGAGTGACCAAGGGTACCCCAAGGTACCTAACAGGAAGCTGGCCTAACTTAAAACCAGTAGCACTTTGGATCACTTCAAGCTCATCCCTAGCCACTCCACAAGCAAACAACTCATACTTTAAAGCATTCAACTTAAGACCTGAGAGTTCATAAAACTTTTCAAGGGTACTAACTACACCCAATAAAGCATCCAAAGACCCATGGCAGAACAATAGTAAGTCATCAGCAAAACAAAGATGAGTGAGGGGAATTCTTTTGCACTTAGGATGAAATCTGAAAACACCATTCATTGCTGCAGCATCCAGAAGGGTAGATAAAACATTCATAACAATAACAAATAGATAAGGGGATAGGAGATCCCCCTGTCTTACCCCCTTTGCACCTTTAAAAAATCCCACCAAGCTTCCATTCAAAGAAATTGAATAGCTAAGAGTAGTGATACAAGCTTTTATCCATCCACAAAAAACCTCAAGTAAACCCATAGCTTCCAAAACAATCATAAAAAAATCCCAACAAATTGAATCAAAGGCCTTTTGCAAATCTACCTTAATAGTGCATCTAGGAGATAAATTCTTCATAGAGTATCCCTTTACAATTTCTTGGGCAAGCAAAGTGTTATCAGCTATGTTTCTACCCTTAACAAATGCTGACTGGTTAAGGGAGAACATGTCAAGGAAGAACAAAGCTACTCTAGATACCAAAATTCTAGTGATAGTCTTGTAAAACACAGAGTAGCCATACAAGCATTTAAGGATTTAGGGGCTAAGACTAGGACAGTAGCATTGAAAGCAGGCAAGAGGGTTGAAGTTTAAAAAAAATACTTTACAGCCTTTAAGAAATCATTACATACAATGTCCCATGCAGGCTTGAAGAACCATAAAGCGTAACCATCAGGACCAGGACTTTTATTGTTTCCTTGTCTGAACAATGCATCTTTGATCTCAACATTAGTGATATCAGAAGTAAGGCCATCAGCAGCACCAGAAGGAAGGGAATAAATCAAGACAGATTTAAGCCACTCAGCATAACATCCCTTCACACTAGAGTCAGCAATTCCAATAAGATCCTTAAAAAATTTATCATGAACAGCTGCCATATTCTCAAAATATTCATGATAAATCCCACTATCATCTTTAATAACCTTAATAGTGTTCATCTTCTTGTTTACTTAAACTCTCTGATGGAAAAAACGAGTGTTCAAATCACTTCTTGTAGCCAGTGAACCTTGGCTCTTTGTTTATAAAATTCAGATTCAGCGTCTTCAAGAGTTACAAGATCAACTCTAAGTTTGCTCTCCTCCTCTAGCCTCTTTTGATCCATATGAACAAGATTAAAAAGCTGAATAGATTCAAGCTCAGCCCTTTTAGCAGCAACTCTGCCATAAATATCTGAAAAACAGCTACTGTTCAATTCCTTTAAAACTGGCTTTAGACTCCTCAACTTGTTAAAAAACAGTTGCATAGCATTGCCCCCATATTGTTCTTGCCAAGAGTCTTTAACAACCCTCAAGAAGTTCTCATTAGCAGCCCAGCAATTAAAAAACTTGAATTGCTTAGGTTTATGAACCTGAGCCCTTTTCTGAGTCCATATATACCAGGACAGTGATATGAAACACCCTGAGCTTTAAATTCCATAGCAGAGTCTGGAAACTCAAAAAACCACTGAGAGTTTATTAAAATTCTGTCAAGCTTGCAAGCTAAGAATGAATTTTCTTGCTTATTGGACCAAGTATAAAGAGGACCGATGTAGAGATGATCTTGAAGCTCCAAATCCACCAAACACTCCTTAAAGTCATCCATGTCAAAATTAGTGTATGTACTGAACTCACCAAAATCAGAACTCTCTTGTGCATTTGCAAAGATGTTGAAATCTCCCCCAATCACCCAAGAAGATGAACCAATATCATATTCCAAACTCTTAAGATGAGCCCGGAGGCCTCTCCTAACCAGACTGTTGTTACTGCCATATACAATAGTAATAACCATCTTATGACCAAACACATTACCAACAATTGAGATAGCCTGATCATATATCATAAGAACAAAGAAAAGGTAGACATTTTTTTCAAAGTAACCAAAGTCTAGCCCCATCAGATAACTCATAATTATCTGTTAAGTTCCAATCAGCAACTAGTACCTTAGCAAAACTAGGAAAATTAACTCTCCTAACTCTAGTTTCCATGAAACATAGAACATCAACTCCTAAATTCTCCAATCTTCTAAAAACTTTCTCTTTCTTGAGCCCATTATTGAGGCCCCTAACATTCCAGAAGCTAATGATCATCTATTAATAGTAACATGAAGAACACCAATACTAGCAACACCAACCACAATATCTTTAGCCTTCGCCAAATGATCATTCTTTTTAGATTTGATCTCATTCAGGAGTATTACAACCCCCAAAGAAGCTGCCCTAGTCTTTTTATTACCATCAACAACAACACTATCAATTAGCAAATCAATCTTACTAGATGAGCCTGTATCAACCATCTTCTTCCCACGAGTCTTTTTCTTCTTAATTAAATAGTCTTGCAAGGTAGGAAAATTCACCACAGCTAGAGTTCATCTGATCCACTGAAGGCAAAGACTTCTCAGCCACAACCCCTGACTGGCCTTCACCAACTTGGTCAACAGAGAGTTGTAAAATCTTGTCAGTTACATCAGAAGCAGATTTACCAAGAGATTGAGAGAGACCAGTATTATCTTCAACAATCACTTGCACCATATCTCCTGTGCATTCTTGTAAGCCATGAACTGACAGCTCCTCAGCATCTCCAACCTTCATATCAACAGTATTAGCTACTACATTGACCTTATTATCTGGCTTCTCAAGGGAATCAGGAAGAGGATTTTCCTTACTCCTCCAAATCATATTATCTTTAGTTTTCCCCTTAGCTTTAGAATTCTCATCACATGAGTAAGTCTGATGCCCAAAGCTTTTCCACTGAGTACATAATTTAGGGAACCATGGAGCATAGACACGAACCATCACTACAGAGTCATCCTGCAAAACTACATTGATAACATCTGGCAATAATGTCCTAGCCTCAATCTCCACACAAACCTTGGCAAATTCCAATATCTCCTTCGAAGCGGTAACAAAATCCATATACAAAGGGACCCCAACAGCACTAGCTATATAACTAAGGCCTCCCCTAAAAAAGAGCTCGAGAGGAACATTATAAAGCTGGATCCACACTGGAATATGCTTAAAGTCAAAATCTAGTTTCTTTAAGCTCGACTCTTATTTCCTTAAAACTAGGGGTTTATTTTGAATGTGCCAAGGGCCGTTCTCCAGGACCCAATCCCTCATTTTCAGCATTCGAAAATGTAAAGACATAGAGGTTAGGACCAACTAAACTCACCTTGACCGAAGACAACTTCCCCAAAGAATCTCAGCAATCCTCTGCATGGATCCAAAATTAGGAGGAGAACCAATAAATTGACCTACCACAATACAACTCCATTCAGTGATCCCCTCTTCGAAAACAACAGACGGAGGCTTAACAGTAGCAGTGCCATTCGAAACTTCAGGCGGAATGAAATCTAGGGCATACTCCTTCGTACCATTGACAAGTTTCCTCCAATCGAGAGCAGAAGGCAGCGATTCCATCAAAATTGAGACAAAATGTACAAGAATTGCAAACAAGAAGTAGAAATTACCGAACGAGAACCACATCCGAGAGCCCATCAGTCATGCTAACGTGCGCTTGGAGATGTTCCATCGTGAGGTTCCCTTTCTTTTTAAGTTTTTATCAAATTAATATTTATTTTTCTTTTTTGATGAAAAATATTTTATTATTTGGTTTTTAAATTTTTAATATATAATTTTAAGATCCGATATATAAATAAACTTTATATTTTTTTCCGGCTTACACCTTAATATTTTTCATCAATTTGATTCCTAATTTATTTTACATTATACATTTTAATTTTGTAATTAATAATTATTGAAAAATCTGATCAGCTAATTCTAGACATATAATGTACTTTATAACACATAAAATATATCACGTTAATCGTACTTTTAAAAAGACGTCCCCTACAAATAACGCCTTTATTATATGATATAAAATTTGATAAAGTTGAACTTATAAGGGTTAAAATAAACAAACAACTATAAAAGAATATAAAAGTAAAAATAATATATAAATTTATAATAAAAAGAATTGCATATTTTATATATTTTCTATATATATTTATACAATTACGATTAAACAATCCTTATATACATTAATAAATCTTATTTTCATATATATATTTTAATCTAAAAAATATTTACGACTCCGCGCTAGATTACTTTTTGTTTCTTAACCGGTCGATCAAATCGTTGTAGATCATTTATTTGCCCCTTTTCACTTGTTTTCTTATTATTATATTAATAAGTCACGTGATAAGGACACGTCTCTGCTAAGATATGACAACGGGTTTATCTATTTATAATGGTGAAAGCGAAGTAGGCTACAAAATTTTTCATCTTTCTTGTTTTTCAAAATATATTGTATATATTGTATAGAAAATTGTTTATTAATGTTAACAAGTAATATGAGCGCGTAATTTTGGTATTAAATAAAGGGAAAATCGTCTCAGTGACAAAAAATACCTTATAAAATATGATTTTAATTAATTTTTTTTGATTTACCAAAATGATCAACAAAATCGCAATGTGATCTCTAATTCGCAACGCGGTCTCCAGTATCGCAAATTCGCGCTGCATTTCGCGTTGCGATAGTTGAAAATCGCGTTGCGATTTTCCTTTTCGCGTTGCGATAGTCTACAGTGTCGTTGCGATTTTCCATTTCGCGTTGCGACAGTGTACAGTGTCGTTGCGATTTTCCATTTCGCAAATTAAAAAAAGATTTTATTTCTTAAGAATTTTCTCTAAAAAGATAGTATCCGCGCGGACGTGTCGAAGACACGTATGACCACGACCACGACCCGACCCGACCCGACATGAGACGAGACGGCGGCGGCGGTGGCGCGAGAGAGTCCCTCTTGTTCTCTTTCACTCAACAAAGAAATGGAAATTCCAAGTCTTAAATACACTTCCCAATAGTATTTTCAATACTATGTGAGATTGATCATTACTCAACACTTCAAAGAAAATATAGCAATTTTTGTAGCATGTTTCTCACTTAATCCATATCTAAAACATTTTATCATTTTATTAAGAGAATTAAAAGAGTTGTAGATATCTACATTTCAATTCAAACTTATACATATAGTTTTAATATGATAAAATGTTTTAATATTTTTAGATATGGATTAAGTAGGAAACATGCTACAAAAATTGCTATATTTTCTTTGAAGTGTTGAGTAATGCTTAATCTCACATAGTATTGGAAACACTATATGGAAGTGTATTTAAGGCTTGGATTTCCCATTTCCTTGTTGAGTGAAAGAGAACAAAGGGGACTTTCGCGCGCCGCCGCCGCCGCCGTCTCGTCTCGGGTCGGGTCGTGGTCGTGGTAATACGTGTCTTCGACACGTCCTCTTTTTAGAGAAAATTCTTAAGAAACAAAATCTTTTTTTAATTTACTGTAGACTATCGCAACGAATTTGGAAAGTCGCAACGACACTGTAGACTATCGCAACGACACTGTAGACTATCGCAACGCGAAATGGAAAATCGCAACGACACTGTAGACTATCGCAACGCGAAATGAAAAATCGCAACGACACTGTAGACTATCGCAACGCGATTTTCAACTATCGCAACGCGAAATGCAACGTGAATTTGCAATACTGAAAATCGCGTTGCGAATTAGAGATCGCATTGCGATTTTGTTGGTCATTTTGGCAAATCCAAAAAAAGTTGGTTAAAATCGTATATTATAAGGCTTTTTTGGTCACTGAGGCGATTTTCTATTAAATAAATTGTTGTTATTTTTTAAGATTTCGAATTTAAGCATCAAAAATTATAGAGTGTAAGCGTTCAACCGTTAATATCAAATAGTTAAGAATTATCTTTAAATAAATATTATTTTGTATTTATCACATATTAATAAAAATCATTAACTTTAATATTTAAAATCTAAATAAAAAATTTAAGTACTTAAAATATAATTCCTCAATTGTGAGTTGTACTAATATAGTA